TAGCGCCTACCTATAGTTACCCTACAGTATGTATATGTATGTTTGTGTGTATGTCTGTATGTATGTATGTATGTATGTATGTATGTAGATAGGTAGGAAAGTAGATAGGTAGGTAAGTAGGTAGGTAGGTAAGTAGGTAGGTAGGTAGGTATGCATGCACGCATGTATGTATGTATGTATGTATGTATGTGTGTATGTATATGTATGTATATGTATGTTTGTGTGTATGTCTGTATGTATGTATGTATGTATGTATGTATGTATGTATGTAGATAGGTAGGAAAGTAGATAGGTAGGTAGGTAGGTAAGTAGGTAGGTAGGAAAGTAGGTAGGTAGGTATGCATGCACGCATGTATGTATGTATGTATGTACGTATGTATGTATGTATGTATGTATGTATGTGTGTATGTATGTATGTACGTACGTACGTACGTACGAACGTAGGTATGTATGTATTTGTATGTATGTATGTATGTATGTATGTATTTATGTATGTATGTATGTATGTATGTACTTGCATGTATGTGTGTGTGCTCACGCATGCATGCATGGATGTGTGTGTATGTATGTATGTACGCACGACGTATGTATGTATGTATGTATGCATGCATGTATGTATGTCTGTCCATGTATGTGTGTGTGCGCACGCATGCGTGCATGTATGTATGTGTACATACATAAATTCACAGATGCATGTACACATAGACATAGATACATGCATGCATACATCCTTGTAGCAGCAGCATTACCGCGTTTCAGAACTTTTGGTTGCGCCATTGCCGTTACTAAGGCTGAACTCCTCCACGAAGCTTGGCACGTGTTTTGGGGGAGAGAGGATGGGCCTTGCCTTACCTGTTGCACAGGGTAGTGAGCTGTTGCGGTGTGGCCTGGCATGATGCAAACGGCCCCGAAACGAAATCGGCCGCCCAGTCAAAGCACGCAAGGCTTTGGGGTACCTGGGCTGCAGAAGACTACGCGTTGGTAGTGGTTCTGGCTGCTTGGTTCTGGCTGAGCGGCCTGATGGTCAAGCAGCTGAGCACCACCGTTGCTGCGCAGCACTTGAACCGATGTTGACTTTTCAGAAGCTAGCAGTATGGAACTACGAAGACTGCCTCTGCGGGCTTGCAGGCTAAGCACATGGAATCAGCATTTTCGAGGTTTGGGTCATGTTTGGCCAACTTGCCGCAACGACTGCAATATTCATCAAGGATACACGGCTGACGGTTCGTGCATGATCCTCTGCTCTTCTGGGAGGGCACACAGAGAAGCCGCACGCGTTTGCACTTTGCACAGGATCCGCTCTCTGCTGATGAGAGTCCCGGCATGAAACAGCGGACTTGAAATTGTGCTGTGGGCCCCCTCTTAGGCTGGGGCACAGCTGTTCGTTGGTCGGGGGCGGGGCCCAATTTGAGGAGACTTCTTGTGAAGAAAGAACCGTGAGTGTTCCTTTGTGACTATTTGTTGGTGCTTCTGTCTCTTGCCCACAGGCACGGCTTGGTGCTTCGGCTTCTTGTGCTTTCTGCTTCCGCTTCCTCACGTTCTTGCTTTCTGACAGTTGCTTTTTGCTTTCTGACAGTTGGTGTGTACTTGGATGACATTTTGTGCTACTTTCAATCTCACGTTGGTGGCCTTCGCAAAGGTGTACTGGCACTGTGAGAACATCACAAGGAAGTGTAGATGAACATGTTATAGCGAAAAATGTACGCATGGCAAATGATCGCCGACAATACCTGCATGGCGCGGCCTGCGCGGACTTTGCAGGAAGTATATCTGCTGAGGCACAACTTCGGCGTTCGTCTTGGGCCATCCTTGATGCTGTTGATCATCGCATGGATGGCGTCTCTTATGAGGAGGATGCCTCCATCGCAAAGCTCTTGTAAATAAAGCCCTGCTGCATGGCGCAGAAACACTCTTTTTTGACTGTCGGAGGACCGCTGAAGTATATGAGGACGAAAGAAAAATGGGTGTCGTCGACGCGCGGAAAGTTGTTGTCGGGCAGGCCAGCGCCCGATAATTCGGCGTCGGCCGCTGTCTTCTACGGACGGAAACACATGAGTGCAAGCGGGATGCAATTCGCAGGAGGACTGGGCGGCTGCCGCCAGTGCGCAGACGAATGAGATCGACTCGATGTCTGACAAGTTTTGGCATGGTGTTTGCATGTCGAGTGATCCCCTTTCAGCAGACGATCTCCCATCTGGCAGCCCGTGGCTAGTTTGCGGCTTGGATGCTCGTAATCCTTTCCTAATTTCCTGTTCTTTGGTTCGGCAGGCCCTGCGCAATTCGCACACATGAGGCGGCTACGACAAGGAGGATGAACTGCATCACTTGCATAAGGACCGGTGCAAGTCGATAGGATGAAGACGGGTGTAGATGGAAGAGCAGTGGCTTTAATTGGAAACTTCTCGCTTGTGTCTCGAGGAGGAGGAGGAAGAGGAGCAAAGCTCCGGTTCAGGCATGGACACGCAGATGCTGGTGATTTCCCTCGCCTGGGCCCCGGCCTAGTTATGTCCACTTACACACGCCCGGGGCCACAGGCTGCTGTCGCAAAGCAGCTTCTGATGCGGAGTTTCAGAAGGTTTTCTGCTCCTGTTCTCGGGCAGGAGGTGAAGGTTGCATAGTTGCCTGCTCGCCAGCATGAACTCATCTGACGATTGGAGCTGCGAGAGACTGAGAGAAGGCACCTAAAGCCTCGTGCTCTGCCAAACCAAACCACGAAGGCCACAAATGAGAATAAAGCACAGAAATCGCACCGTTGTGTGCCCTCCAGCTCCACCAAGCACTGGCTCATACCGCCGGCCTCCGGGTGCGGAAGTAGCTGCTCTGAGTCGGATGCGAACCGCCATTCTGTGTGAGGCCTATGCAGCGACTGATACATTGAAGACACTCCTGAACTCCTATGCGCTCTCAAGTCACTTAGCGGCACATTTGTCCGCTACATCTCTTCATGGCCGTGGGACCCTATTGCCATAAGGCGTGAGGACTCCCTGAGCTAAGGCTCACAGATCAACGTGAACTCCATGTCCTTCCTGTCTTTCCTCGTAGGACCGAGCCACGGAAGGATGGGTCAACAGTTCTCATCGGGAGACTGTGCCTCAGCCCCAGCCAATGACATGAGCTGCCGTCTGGAAGAGGACTTATCTTCGCTTCACTGATGACCTGGCATGCACATGGACTGGGCTGCTCACGGCAATCGGACGAGGACCCATGTGTTTCAACACCGCCGACCCTGCAGCGTAGGTTCGTCCTAGCCAGGTGGGAGGCCAACACACCACCCCCGTGGACGAAGAAGTGCGAAACACACTCACTTCAAACGCAGCCTTGGAAACAAAGCGAGCAGACCTAGCAACATCATTGTTTTTTGGCAGTTGACGGGAAAGGGAGGATGGACAGCGAAACGAATACGAACCAGTTCACAACTCCGGGTTTGTGCAACGGTGGACCACAGTTTGGGAGCACACAGCTCTCGCAGACTGGGGGTTGGCTGAGGTTATGTTAGGTCTGAGCTCTTTCACGATCTGAGCTGTTTCACGCTTGCAGGAGAGTGCCGTGGAGAAGCGTCTTGGCAAGCTTTTCGCGCATGATTTCTGGGGTGGGGAGATCGAGATCTCGCTTGTCATGCTTCTCTAAAGTACAGCATTGCCCATAGAGATTTTTGTCTGCATCGGCTTCATCCTGGCAGCGACTGGAGGCCTCAAAAGGGACTCCTGCAAGCCTGGAATTTCCGAAAAATCTTGGAATATTCGGGCTCGTCGGTCTTACAAGCGGATGCTCGGCAGAAGTCCTAGGAGCTGCCACGCAGAGTAGGCTAGGCCGTGCTGTACCGAGGCGACCATGTGCCTCAGAGACTTCGCTGGAATTTTCTGCCTTTTTGTTGGCAGGGTTACTTCAAAAGATGTTCTATAATGGTTCCGCTCCCATCAGGTTCCAAAATGCTTCCAGAAGGGTTGCTTCCTTGTTCGCATCCCTCACCCGCACTCCCGTCTTCATTCAATGTCACGAGCGCCGGGCTTTTCGCAGTGAGGCAACATGGCCTTTGCCTTCGGTCTTTCCCCGGCAATGTCTGCAGTGCTGGGCAAGGCATGTGAACATGCACATGTCCTGACCTCATGGCCGAGCGTGGTGCTGTGGAGGTGTACACCCCTGTTCTGGCTGTTGGGGAGCGGCTGATCCTGAAGAAGCGCAGGATGCTTCCGAGTTCTCGCCTGCTACTTGACGGAGCGTGACTGCAGGAAGACGATTGAATGGTTTGCCGTTACCATCCTGACGCTCGGCACCTTCGCGTTCCTCTATCTCCAGACGCTTGGGCTGCCAACGATGTTTGGCTTTGCCAGACTCGGAACTCAAGCTCAGCGGATTGAAGTACTCGCAGCTCCTTGTAGCTTGTCGAACATTGCAAAGAATGGATGCAACCCTGTTGACTGAGGATTTACGACTACGAGGAGGGATTGGCGAAGGCCTTGTCGTCGTGCGCTTCACGCAGACCTCAGCATGCTGTAGAAGTTTGTCTTCGACATGCCTGTTGAAACGATCAGAGTCCACCGACCCCGAAATTTCGCAACAGAGCCCGGTGCAAAGGCAATGTCCAACTCCTTCCCGCTCATTTTGTGCATTCTCGGTGCTTGCACTGCTGCAATCCAGGCTCGCGCGCCATTCGGAAGTTAGATCCGGGTTTGTCCCCAATCGTAGCATTTGTAGCAGCAGTGCAAACTAGCGCGGCTTGGTATCGCACCGTTGTTTGATTTTGGCTTGTTGCATGTAATGGTTCTAGGTCACGCAGTGGTGGGCATTGCTGTGCTTCAGGCGTTAGTGTCGCAGGGCATCTACGAAGAAGCTTGGCAGCAAGCTGGGTGCAAAGCAAGTCTTGTAAAGACGCCCGCCTGGTGAAGTGTTCGAGGCCAATCGGGATGTGGACTTCTACATGAACAAAGTTCGCTTCTTGACCAGACTGGCCGAATGCCAAACAATTGCGGATCGCTCTGGCGGATGCTTGTGAACATAGCTTCGCAAAGTGGCGAAAGCAAGCATGGCAACTTGATGTGGCTTGCGATGCGGGAGCCACAGCGCCCAGCAGGCCTGCGTGTCCCGTGGGGCTTCGATGCTGCGGCTTTAGTACCTGAGGCTTTGATGCTGGGAGTGCAGCTTTCATTCTTGTTGCCGCCTGGCCCTGAGCTGTCCATCTCCTTCCATAAGCTCGCGTCCTGCGCCCATGTAAATCGTGCACCGCGCACGTTTCTTGAGTTCACAGGTGCCGCTTTTAAGCCTCACGGCCAGTCGCGGCAAGGCACCGATGTTTGGTAACCCGGCTAGCTGCTAGCTTGATGCTCGCTTGTGTGAGGGTTCGAGGCAACTACCTCGCAGTATGGGCTGGTGCTACACAGTGCTAAATGCTAAACCTGACATCAGCCAGGGACCTGAGTGGATGCTGGGTTGCGTGTCCAGAATCTTGTTGAGCCCCCAGCCTTCATGGCGTCGGCTTGGCCAGGACCTTCTGTGGTTGCCACGAGCTGTGAATGCCGACTGCGACGTGAGCCAGTGCTGGCCAAAGGCTGAACTACCACCACCTAGCCCAAACCCCGCGGCTTTGTCATACTTGGAAGGTTCCATCTCTGGCGAAGGGGGGCTCGATACATTGGCCTTGGTCAATGGAGGAGAGCATGATGACCTGCACGCCAGAGGCTTGCACAGGCCGCTTTGCGCAATCAGGGAGACTCTTAGAGACAGGCCGGATCTGCAGATGTCTCAGGCAGCTGCGCCTGTCAAACCGGCCTCTTTGCCGGATGGGGCCTGCAGCCGGAGCTGTACTTGTTTTTGGGAGTGACTGCCGCTGGGAGCATTTGGCAGCAGGGACGTTCATCGGTTAGGTATGGGAGGGCCGGCAGCATGGAGTGTAATTAGTGGTCAGTTTGCGGGGTTGAGACACACGCAGGCAAAATACAGCTCTGATGATTTTTATCGATGCCAGCTTGATAACTGCAGCGCTCATGGATCCCCGTTCTCTCTCAGCCATGCGCATATGCTTCTACAAGAGGCCATCATATTGAATGATGGAATGAAGCGATGTCTAGAAGGGTGCTCTTTGGGCTTCCGACCATTGAGGGACTGCCGGGTTGCAGGCTGCCAGGCCTGTTGTTCGAATGTATTGTGTGTCTACGTATTAATATCACGCAGATCGCTTGGTAATCAACAGCTGAATGTCACAACCATGCGATTCATCCTCGATTTGGGTGCGGCGAACAGGTAGTCTGGTCTCATGCATGGCCCCAATCATCTCAGTTGGAAGGCTCTGGTTTGAGATCTCTCAGCAACATTTTTATATCCCATGTAGTTCCCCCCCTGGGGTCGCATGGAGACCAAGCGAAGAAGGCTGCAGGAGACCGCTCCGGAACCGCAATTGCAGCACCGGCTGGAGCGGCTCTACCAAGAAATGGTGAGCATTGAGCACGAGATGGTGTCAAGTCTTGCCCGCACTTCTGCGGGCGACGAAGTGAAGCACAAGATCAACAACATGCAGCTTCGAATGAAAAGCGTCATTAGGCATGAGCTGAACTCTTTGTTTGATTCGACCCCCGAGCCAGCAGAAATCGCACGAGACACTGGCTGTTGCGTGCTTCAAGCAACCTCAAGTCATGGGCGAGACGTAGATGGACACAACGACGACTACCGCCTAGAAAACCACATTGACATGGTATCGGACAAGGTGAGAGTCGCGGCTTTTAGGTCTGCAATCTCCCGTTGTGCGAAAGGGAAGTCTGTGCTGGATGTTGGCACGGGGGCCTTCTGTTTGCTAGCTCGCATGGCTCTGTGCTCTGGTGCTTCGCATGTGGATGCGGTGGAGGTGAATGCCAAGGCCGTCAATCATGCCGCCATGTTGTTGCGCCGTGAGGTCACGATGAGGAATCAGAGTCAGAATCTGACAGAGGGCTTGCAGCTAGATGAAGAGCTCTCCACCTCCTTCCCGGACATACCACCCTTGGCCGAGCCCGATGCATCGGTCAAATCCTTGGAAGCCGAGACAACAAGGCAGCTTGACGGAGCCCCTACCGAACCCTGTTACACAGTTTTGGTGCGAAGCCCTTCTGTCTCCTCTCGTCTGCGCTTGTATTCGGGCTCTTTGCAGAGCCTGCACTTGCAGGGTCCTTACAATCTCATCGTGCATGAGCTGCTTGGCCACATCGCCAGCTCAGAGGGGGTGGCTGAGACCCTTCAAACTTTGCGACGCCGTGATCTCTGCACGAAGCACTGCGCCTTCATTCCGAGTTCTGCAGGTACGCTTTTCGCACCGACCAGCAAACTGAAAGCAAGTTCTCTGGAGAAAGTGCTTCACTGCTTCTTTAATGCTGAAACCAGAATCCAAGCACAAACGAAATACCACGCAAGGGGTTTTGATGCCGCCAGGCTGATGGCAAGGCCGCGGTTCTTTGAGTTTTTGGAGTTTTCGGTTGAAGGCTTGGCAAAGCTGGAGAATACCTCTCGGAGTCGAGTGGTCTTCATAACCGACAAGGAGGGCGACTTCGATGGCCTTCACTTCCATTTGCATGTGCAGCTGGACGAGCTCACCGAGATTGACACCTTGTCTTCTGCAACAACTTGGTCCACGACCTATGTGAAGTTGTTGGAGCACGCCGTGTGGCTCCCGGAAGGTGCCCGCATAGCTTGCGAGTGTGAGTCGGGGGAGTCGGGGTCTGGAATGCGGCGCTACTCGGTAGATGTGTTCGTGGGGGAACCGTGGGATGAACGGCCGGTAGCTTCTTTCTGCTGGGAAGGGGCCACCTGAAAGGCGTGTGCCCTCTTGTGGCTGCCATCCGAAGCTTCATAAAAGGCGTACGCTTGTAGGCACACCAGTACCGCCAGCAGCAGATGTACGACGGCTCGTGGAACGTGACGGATGCACAGACAGAGTTTCTGTGAAAATCGTGGACATCTGTGAAAGAGCGGGAGAATACGAAGACGTACGGTCGTTTTTCAATCCGTGCAGATTTTCGTCGAGTCTAGAGTGTAGCATTGGGCCTTTCGCCCAGTCACGAGACTCGAGGTGCGTGAGCAGGGGCGAAAGAATGAGTCACGGATCGGTTTTCGGATCTTTGTTGGGTCTGCTGGGTGGCTTGCACTTGCTTTTTTTCAGGGCTTGTAGTCAGGGTGTTCAATCCACTAGCCAAACAAGAAGACGGGTCCCGCTGCAAACCCAGAGAGTTTGTGTATGTTTGTGTAGTTAGATGTCAACTTCTGTTTTCAATGCTTCCAAGGTTCTGTACGGCACCTCGGCCTGCAATGCAAGGCAGTTCTGTGATCGATTTTAAGAGTAACTCCCTGGCGACATGTTGGGCATGCAAGGAATCCTGGTCGGCATCATCTATGACAAGTATGGATCGCTTCACCGCGCCAAGTGCGACGCATTTGGACTGCTGCTGGTCTACTGGGTTGGCAACCCTTTGCTCAACTACTTGACGGAGGCACTTGCGATAAGTCGTGACGGCACGTCCAGCCACTCGATTCAGTGCCTCGTGCAGTGATGCTTTCATGTGCCCCCAATGCAGCACAAGTCATATACATGATTTACATGCTGCAATTGGGCCTTGCTTGTAACGTTCTTGTCGGGAGGGCACGAGCTTCCACGTGAGTCTGCGGGACGAGTGCTTGGACATTGTGTCCTTCATCGCATTTTGGCCTGCAAGAGTGGGCGCTGTCACAGCCGCTACGCTGCGTGTAGCTGGGCGCTTCATGTCCGAAGCCATCGATGCACCTCAAGCACTCCGTTTGGTCATCTCGTCCCCGACATGCTTTTTTGTGTTTCCCCGTGCTTGTGCTCAATGCTGCAGGTACCTCTGGCAGCTTTGTCCACGGACATAGGGAAGATCATGACATCGGAAATGCTGCAGAAGCTTGGCATAGACCAATTCGCAGTCGTGACTTCGCTTTCCCCTCGAAGAGGGTCCGGGATTCCTCGCTTTGGGGCTCAGCCCTCTCCTAGACGATTTGACCAAAAATCAGTAGCTGTGGATTAGGTTTCCAGCTAAAATGTACTTGTATTACGCAGAAATCAGTGTACCGAGCTGTAGTTGGGGGGTCTTCGCGGCACTGCTGAGGCAGAGTGTGCCCAATGTCGGCGCGGTAGACCCACGAAGATCTTCTTAGGGCTTAGGGTCCTAAGCCCCAGAACATATAATATAAGACCGTTTGGGATAAGTCGTAAGCCCAAGACTGCCGCAGGAAGGTGTCTGCATTCCGTATGGGCCTTTTTGCCGGCCTGCTATCACGCGTTCGTGGCCGGGAGGTCGTCGTGATGTGGCTTTGATCTGAAATTCAGAGGAGAGTCAGCACACGTGAAGGTGTTCAGTTCTGCGAGCCAGGGCGGTAGTCAGAAGGCCCATACAGGGAGACCCACAGAAACGACTCAGACTTCAATTGCATCTAAGCATCCCAGCGAAGTGAGTTGTTCTAGCTTCAACAATCTACTCCGGACTCCGTCCAACAGAGTTGATCGCCCGGTTCAGGTTCAGTGATCCAGGTGGCGCCCAGGAGGAAGAGTTCCAAGAAGTTATAGAACCTCGACTGCCTTAATTAAGCGAGTTCTGTGTCTTTGAGGGTTAAGCTGCGGGTTCAGCCGTGAGAGAACCAGAAGACGATTTCCAAATATGTCGTGCCAGGAGCTTCTGGATCAGCGCGCTGCTGATATCCGAAAGAAGGGTGCGCTTGTCCGTAGCTCCGTTGCAAGAGCCATTGCTCATGGCGTAATTCCCGCATGTTCTGCGACGGCTGCTGCAGATGAGTGACCACAGTGACCACAGCAACTTGCTGAGGTGTGGTGGATGACAGAGATATTCCTGATCACTGGCTGGGGAAACTAAGAATACTCTTCAACTCCAATGTTGGCAAAGTGCAGCAGAGAGCGTACAAAAGCTTGCGCGACCTTCTGAGTCGCGGTCTTAGTGTCTTAGCCAGCGAAGCCATGACCCCCTCAAGTGTGGCTCCAATCCTGGCCAGTCGCTTCTTCGCTGGCCAGGATTGCAGAGATCATATGCCAAGGCGACGACAGGATCGAGTCTGCGCCAACTAGGGTCGCCATTGGCGTCAATTCTTGGAGCCGAAACTACCACATGGTCGCACTATGCAGGCGCACGTCTTGAGCGCATGTCCATGGACTCCAAAGACCGAGTGTTCTGCAGGCACGGCGTCAGTGCCAGCACAGCTGGCCTGAGCCAAAGCTCCGTGAGAAGCCTGGGAATTCAGGAGATCAAAGATTGCAAGGAATCCCGGCAAGGCTTTGGAGCTTTGTATTATCAAATCTGAGCAGCCAGCAACTACATGGCATTCGCCGCGCACCACAGGTTTGAGGGATGCGACGGGTTCTTGCTAACCTAAGGAGGCTTTTGCGAAAGCCGCCCCGTGGCTGCAGTTGACCCGTGTGGATGTCGAAGTTCTCCTGGCCTTGGCATGCCTTGGCCAAGGCCAGCATGCATGAAAAGCTGATGAAAGTCACCAAGGACCCAGTGTTTGTGGGTCGGGGGGGGGGGGCTGCTCTTGGAAGCAGTTCTGAGTAGAGTTGCATGCCAGCCATCTCATCTGAGACCAGGACCCTGTGCACCGGCATCACCAAACATCCCTCGAAGCCCTGAGGCCGAGCATGCTGAATTCTGACACATGACCCCCTCCCATGAATCAGGGACCGTGCAACCGAAGGCCAGTTTAAGGTATCGCAGCTGTGACATATGTTCAGCTCCTGAAGTCCTCCGACTCAAAAGTATGCAGTCGCCGTGTCACCCGAACTTATAGCAGAATCTGGTGATCTGACTTGTTCTCGCCTCTTTGCAGGGACGGCTTGAAGCCACAAGAACCGACACCGCCATACGTGCAGTTCATATCAGAGGACGACAGGGCTCGCGGGACAGCTTCAGTCTCGTGCAGTGATGTCATTCAGCTCATGATGCCTTGTCCGAATGTCGCCGTGTACTGTCCAGGAGAGGTGAGCGGAATCCCGCGGGTAAATGCCTAGCCTTACTTTCAATGTATGCTATCGTTTCAGCCTGGAAAAGAGTGCGGCCAAGTTCATGCAATCCCTGGTTCCTGGACATCAAGTAGGAGTTCAGAGCACAACAAGAACAACTCCTGGACATCGACCCCTTCGGATGTTATGTTACAGGTGGTGCTCCCGCGTGAACAAGAAGCGAAGATAACCCTTTCCAATCGGGTTGCACCTGGTGGGGACGACCCCTGTTTCCTGAATCAGCTGAGTGTTAAGACATGCATGTTCCACATTCCTGTCTCGCAGCAAACAAAGTGGTTCACTCTCTAGAGGAACTGCAAAACTTCAGCTGCAACTTCTCAACGCATCAGCCCAACACAGCTTCGGCTCAAATATGGGTTCCATGTTGCTAGTTCAGACAGAAAGTCTAGTGAGTCTAGTCTCAGCCTTTTGTGTGTGCCGCAAACGTTGTGGGCAAGAGCAGCATCCCAGCGAAGACGCAACTGAAAAGATGGTTGTTGACTGTCATCATCTGTTAGTCTGATTGTGCCTGTGAACATGGGCCATGACATGGTGCCAAGCGCTTTGGCTCCTTTGGCTCTCCGTGGGAGCGCAAAACGCGCCCAACCTTACGGAGATTTGTGCATATCCGAGGCCGTGCTCACAGTTTCTTGGTGACAGCAGCCTTTGTGTGAATCTGGATTACGTCCGAGTGTATGACTTTACGGCCGCCGAAGACCTTTGTGCTCTGGCGACGCCTGCCCATGGATTCAACCTCGATTTCATAATTTCTGCTGGCCTCGCAAACTCCAGCCGCTGCATTTTCGATTGGAAGGGCGATGGCAGATGTGACTTGTCGAACAATCACGACTCCGAGAATTGCCAATTCGATGGAGGTGACTGCTGCCTTTCCACATGCCAGACCAACTGCGCGGAAGAGCCGGACCTTTACGAGCGGCCACCAGCTGTGCGTGTAGGGAACGAGTGCGAGTATTTTTGTGGCGAAGAGGCGCTGTATTGGTGCTTGGACGACGAAGCCGTCCTCTCCCCAGTCAGGCAATGGTGTGCATTTGGGCAGATCAAATCCACATCGCGGTGCTACATGTCCAAGCTGGAAGTCGCCAGTGCCTTGCAGCAGTGTATGCTGGACGACCGCGTGCATGGCAATTCCATCAATGCAGGGCCGCAGTGTGGCAACCAAACGCTTACCTGTACCCTCCAAGATGTGGAAGCCCAAAACGGATGCCACCTCACAAAGGATGATTGCTTCACACGCATGTGCTGCACCGAAGCCATCGACAACGGCTTCATTACTTATAACCCCGAGACCAATGCACTCCCCTCGATTTCTGCAATATATGATTTGTGCGAGACGAGTACAACCGATAACGATGAACCATGTTTTCCATATATGATGAACTGCATCCAGGAAGCGCGCGCCGCCAAAGGTGGTTGCTGCTCCTGCGACACAGGCTGGGGCGGCTGGCGCTGCCGCGACCCTCTCTGCTGGCCACGCTGTGTGCACGGGACTTGCATAGCACCAGATCTTTGCCACTGCGAAGCCGGTTGGAAAGGAGAGGCATGCCAGCACGCCATTTGCACTCCGGAGTGTGTGCCTGGGCAGGGCACCTGTGTGCTGCCGGATGTCTGTGAGTGTTTCTATGGTTGGGGCGGCACCTCCTGTGAGGTCCCAGTGTCAGAACCAGCCTGCGTTAACGGCGATGCTGTGTCACCAGACATTTGCCGCTGTGCGGAGGGCTGGGGAGGACGACTCTGTGACTACCCTTTGTGCCAAAGCTGGCCAGTACCATCACCCGAGTGTGTTCATGGCACTTGCATTAAGCCCTTTGAGTGTGAATGCGAACCTGGTTGGAAGCCTTACCTACCCATCAATCAGACGGGCTTCGACATCATCCCGTTCTGGTCGCGTGGACAGGATGTCTCGCAGGAGACCGCAGGCACCTATGTCAAAGCCGACTCCCGTCTCTCTTTTCTGTCATTCTGGGACCGCCAGTACAATTCATCCAATGCTGCGCAATGCACCGTCCCGGAATGCTCAGTTGTCATTGACCCACGCTGCCTTGAGTGTGAGCCACCACCAAATGGCAGGCGGTAACTGTTCAAAACACTTGTCACGAAAATTGCCATAGAGTAGGCTCCTTTTTCGTTGGGATCTGCATAACCGGGCAACTGTGTTCGAAAACTTCGTGGTAAAGGATCAAGAAATAGGAAGAACAACCCCCAGGTGCTTGCGGTGCGAGCCGGGGTTCTTCGTCGACACCTCAATCGACCGTTGTGAGCGATGCTCCAATGTTTTCCCACATTGCCACCTTTGTGGCCCAGAGCCCACAGGCCCGGATGGCAAAGTCGTTTTGCGTTGCACGCACTGCGATCCGCTCTTTGTCCTCGAGCCAGTTGCCTTCGGTGAGGACCCCACAGCTCGCTGTGTCTCCGATGGCCCCATCGAGTTTAGTTCCCCTGTGTACCACGTCTACAAGGACCAGGGAAATGTGACGTTGGTGGTGCAGCGCAGTATTTACGCGCTTCGCCCGGAGTTTGCTAGGCCCATCACCGTTATAGTGCGCACGCGGGATGGCACGGCCAAGAGCAGTAGCATGATGTATGGAGGTGAGTTTGCTAGCTACGAGGCCACGGTTGCCAACATTACCTTCGGAGTGGACGAGTCCGTGATGATACCGGCAGAAGGTTCAATGGCTTCGAACTTCTCCGAGGCCTTGACCGCCCGCTTTCACGAGCGCATCGAGCTGCCAATTTTGATCTTCGACGACGTGGTGTACCACCCAGAGTATCGCTACTTCGACGTGGAGCTTGTGCTTCCCCCGGAGCATTTGATCGGACACCAAGGCCCTCTGTACCCTTTTGTCACAACTCGTCAGCACGAGACAAACCAGGCATGGATGATGCCACAGAATGTCTACCGTGCTCCGGTGCTGGACAGGCAGGATGTCCTAAGCATTGCTCGGATCTACATCTGGGATCACGTCGAAGCGACCGCCATCAACACCTGGTGCCAGGGTGATTGCCGGCAGTGGCAGTCCAAGACTTTGGTGGGTGATGCACGCAATGTGCTCATCCAGGCCCGCACCTTCGATGACCAGCCGATCACTCCGCCCACATCCATCCGGCCGGATCCACATTTCATCATCAAGTACCTGCCGAGAGGGGAGGGCAACGAGGAGTCAGTGGGTACAATCACCACAGCCACCCCGACAAACTTGGTAGGCACCTACGCCGGCCGCTTCATTCCAACCTTGGCAGGCATCTACAAGTTACAAATCGAGAAACCCGTGGCTGGAATGTTTGCGGAATATTGGTGGCACCGGAACATCCACCGGAATTCTCCTCAGCAGCCTGACATCAGCAGGGTCGACCACACCTTGAACTTTTGGTTTCCAGATGTGGCTACTGCACCGGCCTTCGTGAGATGGAAATTCATCTTGCACTTTGCCTGCATCCGAACCGAACGGTGGCCCTTCAATTTCGGGCATGCGCTGGGCATTATCGCATCTCCAGGTAGCGAGGTGCGAGCATTCTTCTGGAATGATGGCTCAGTTACGAAGCGAATTCCGGACGATGTGGTGCCCCGTAAGCGCGAGGAGATGATTCGTGAGGACTGCATGCAAGAAGTGCCATTCTTCATCTGCATCGACCTGCTGTTTCACGATCCTGTGGTAGATCCTTTTGGGTTCTACGCCTTCGAAATCGAGTGGAGCACGCCCATGGTCGATGACATGGAGGAGAAAAAGCACACATCTATAGAGATCATGCTGTATCATCAGAACGACACGGACTACTGGGGCTGGTGGCCAATCAAGCAAGGCTGCTTGCTTTCAAGTGGCCTCAACATCCAAGGCAGCCCCTTCGAGGACTTCCAGGCCATCAGCGGCAATGCGCGGCCGGACTTTTCAACAGTCTTGGCGCTGCCCTACGAGACACTCACGATGTCTGTCATTGTAGACAGCCCGGCGGAGGTGCGGATTGACCTCAGGGACATTCTGGGGCAGCCCGTGGTGGGAGGCGGCATGCTGCGCAGCCTGAGTGCCCGGTTGTACACCTTGCAGGGAGTGAAGGAGATGGACTTACCCGTGCGCTGGAGCGCTCAAGGGTACTACTCCGCTGCGTGGACTCCGCTGCCCCCCGACCCGATTTACAACGATGATGTCAGCACCGGACGCTACTATCGGCAGTTGATTGTTTTGCTGGATGGAAGTCAAATTCAGAACTCGCCCATGTCGGTAGAGATCTTGCTAGCTGTATCCGACGAAGACCGATCTTTCGTGGAAGCGGGTGACTACACACCTGCACAGGCCGGCGAGCCTGTTTGGTTCCAGCTTCGTTCGGCCACCTTGGCAGGTCGGCTGCGTGTTGCTGGCGGCGACAACTACGAAGTTTACTTCGATGGCCCCTCGCACGACCCTCTGGGCGTCGAGGATCAGTTTCGGGGCAATGTGATCGACAACTTTAATGGTTCCTACACTGTGAGGTTTGAGATCCAGAGGCCTGGGCGGTACAACATGCGCATCTTCTTGAATGGTGTAGAGATCCGTGAGTCGAGACTAGTTGGGTCTCCATACAAAGGCATCTTGATATGGGACGACATCAGTGCGGCGCTCTCCACTGCAATCGGCCCAGGCATCAGTCCCACAGGATCTGAAGCAAGC